GTGGGTGTGTGGAGTGTAAGGGGCCGTGAGAAGGTATGATTCCTGATCACAGCCTTCAGAGATGGGGTTGTTTTTTCACCAACTTTTCCAGATCGTTCCTAAAACATGAAAAGAAGTCTGGAAGATCCTGGTGAACTATAATCATAGAACTCCCAGGATGGAGTGTTGGGTTGAAAGCAGTGCATAGGGGGGCGAAGCCTAGGAGGTAGTGGCACAGTGATTCCCTCATGTGGACCCAGGTTGGGGCTCAGGTGGGAAGGTCACAGACACATGCAGAGCAGCCCCGGAGGCACTGGGTGTAAACCATTAAGGACTGAAAACGAGTCACCATAACTAAGAAGTCTCCACATAGCCTCATAGAGATCAAAACTGATCCGAATCCAGTATCAAAGCTGGGCAAATAGAGTAGTAGTTCAAAGTTTAGCTACATTTAATACTCTGTAATAAAAACCCTTACAGTCCGATAATACAAAAGTTTCTTTAAAGGGCATCCAAGGAGATCTTATCACAAATCTCAAAATTAATTGTGAAATATTTAAAATATTCTAATTAAAACCAAGAATGAATGAAGATACTTCTATCACCACTACTGTTCATACGCCATCCAAGAAATCCTGGTGATACAAAGACAAACTGGAAAACAATAAAATTGCCCTGGCTGGTGTGGTTCAGTTGGTTGGAGCAATGTCCTGTGCACTGAAAGGTTGCCGGTTCCATTCCCAGTCAAGGCCCATACCCAGGTTGCATGCTTGATCCCTGGTAGGGGTTGTGCAGAAGGCAGACAATCCATGTTTTTGCTCTCAGTGTTTCTCCCTCTGCCTTCCTCTAATAACCAATAAAAATATATTTTTAAAAATATAAAATTGACATTATTGTATCATAATTTCAACACAAGTCTCCAGAAAATTGGTATTGCCAGTTTGAGCATAATCTATATCATAAAAGGCCTGTGGTTGTGACGTTGTAATGGCGAGAGCTACTAGCGGCAGAGACCTACAGGAAGGCAGGGCATGAGCCATTAGCATTGGGCAGGGTGGCCTGCTGAGGCAAGCAGAAGCAAGCTACTCATGCACAATTTTGTGTGCACTGGGCCTCTAGTACTACATAAAAGTAGATAGCATTCTGCCCCATGCCACAGATATAAAAATGCACTGAAGTAAGAACACACATGGGCAATGAGTATAAAAGGTTCTACCGGGACTAAGCACTCAACTACAGAGATGGGTAAGCACCGTACAGAAAGTTCTCGGGTTACGTCGGACTCCATGAATGTCACTGTGGGTCGCCATCTCCCATTTATATTTAAAAAAAGTTCCATCATTTTGACATATGTATATACATATATGCTTTATGTTTTTTATTTACCACAAGGTCAGGAATTGTTACTTCAAAAATTTTTTTTAGTTTCACTTCATTGCTGTGAATGTGCTCCAAATGAGCGACAAAGGTGCTTATATAGGTGGGTTCCAACTTAACAGCGAAAATCGTGTTATGAAAATCACGTTACATTGCGCCATAGGAATGAATCTACGACATACCCAAGGACCTACTGTAATTGTATTGACAGATCAACCCACATTTCTATCAAAAGGGCATGGGTAGGATTATCAAGAACCAAAAAAAGTGGGGTATGGGTATGGGTAGGTAAGTCAATGTTCAACTGAGGTAGGCTAGTCTGTAGGATGGGTATAACTGACAGATACACAAAATGTTGACTGAGCGGGGTCTCAAAGCTCTTACCTGTCATGTTCACCCACAAACCTCAACCCTATATTTACCTCTCATGGTAAGGAACCCTATAAACCAGGATGAGGAAAGTGTTTCCTGATAAATTAGAGCCAGTCTGGATTAACCTGTCCACTTAACATCTCTAGAAGGAAGTGTTTCTTGGCAGGACCTACTGTCCTTCCCTAATTACATTGAAAAGGACATTTAACCCTTTCCCCACTCACACCTAGACTCCCCATAGGTGTGTGTGTTCATGTCCTGATGGGGCATTAGTACTGGCACTTCCCTGCCCAGCAAGTGGAGCAGGGAAAGTAGTTCAACGGAACTGAGCTGCTCTAGAGGACCATATTCTCCCAGGTGTCCGTCTGTCTCTGGAAGCCTGATGTTTAACATTTGGGTAACAAGGGCACTGGACTCCACGAGTCATTGATGGTGCACTGGCTGTTACTGAATGTTAGCCAACATGGGCAGATAAAGCTGTTACTCCTCCCTGTGCTGAATGTCATGCAGGGGGAAGCTCTGAAAGGACCCACTGTCCAGAGAAGAACACAGGCACACTCCGTCCCGGCTTCACTCTCAGCTTTAGCACCAGAATTCTAGATGGCCCAGTGACTACGACCACCACCAGGACTCAGTTAAAGTATACACCAAGATGAATTGATATAATGAAAGGATTCCTGATTATTTGCTTTATTCTAATACAAGTGTGGGGGGATCTTGTTCTTAATATAGTAGAGACAAAATGCAGTTTTTCAAAACAGATGTTTATTTAAGAATTAAGGGAAAACAAAAAACATTAAAACAGGAATACATTGAATACAAGTGTCTTGTTTGGTCTGAAATGCGTGAAAGTTACTCTAACTACTTACCTGAGGTAGATCTAGGTTGGCACTGTCTCAAAAGAACCTCCATCCATCCCAGAAGTTAGCTCCCAGTTTTGGTTACAGGCTCCCAAGTGGTCCTCCCCAACCTCAGGTTATGCTATAGGAACAGTAACAATGCCTTTTCCCCTATGGTTAAAACGCCTCGGATGTGTTTCATACCCACAAAGTTCTGTGCTTGAGGGATGGCCCATCTTTAATTTACTTGAAGACTAGAGACAGTAATCACGAGATTCGCTGAAAAAAGGGTCAAGTCATCCTGTCGATGATACCAACTCTGTCCCCTTCTGCAAGTTCTAATGACTAACAATTAGCCACAGGACTAATTTCATCACCACCATGCCATTCACCCATAGTATTTTAGTGTTACAATAATCAAACATATGCTAGTGATAGGCATGATTTTCAAAATAAAAAATACATGTTGTGTGTTTTACCACTCTAGGCAACTTTTCATGGTATAAGAACTATTTATGAAAACCAAAGTAGCTTGACTCACCTCCCAGGATCTGTTTACTAAAAAACAAAACAAAACAAAAAAAAACACCTTACAATCAGATTCCTTACTATCACTATGAGCTGTACCCACTGACCCTAGGATTATTAAGATGAGCAGCCAGTCATCAAGATCATAGCTTAAAGCCACACACAAAGCAGCCGCTGGCCACCTCCACGAGTCTGAGGCCAATGCTCCTGAGTTCAAGGATTCGCTATGATTGACCAGATCAACCAGATAGATTAGCAACAAAATATGTATTCACCAGTCTAGGCCCAAACACTGCAGAAATCTTACATATTTTTATTAAGTGTCTTTTAATCTAAGGGGACAATACTCTCAGAAGTGTCCATGTGTAGATTCCTGGATTAATTACAGTACATCTAGAGAATATTTAATATAATTATTCTGTTAAACTGGAAATTAAGTGCTTATCCTCAAACCTCTGATGAATTTGGCAACTACTTTTTCTCTCAAGCATTTAGTATCTTACATTCCAAGCCATATAAGTACCTTAGATTGTGATTGCATGGGAAAAAGTATTCTCTTTTCTTGGCAGAACTAAAGCAAATGAAAGACATATCATTATGGAACTGAGTTTGTTATAAACAGCAGAATAATGGAGTGAAAAGAACACACGCTTTGCAGTTAGGATAGTTAAACCAAGAAGCCTGGCTCCTCCATTAACTGCATCATCATGTGTTACTTGCCTGTGCAAGTGTTCTGTCAGCCATTCTGCACGGAGCTGATGAGGATATATTATCATTTGAAGAGATGATACAGGAAGTCAAAAAAGGTGTATACTAGCAACATCATAACTGTTACCCTGGAATCTGCATTTCTGAGTTGAAAAGAAATGAATCTCTAAAGTGGAAATTTCAAATACCAGTGATACTCCGACATTTTAGAGAAAGAAAATTTCGAGGATGTGCCTCAACTCACACCATGTAAAACATTGGGTGTTTTGCTTCTATATGAGATTGGCCCTCCAAAGAAGAAACATTTGGGAGTTCTAATCCAGGATAACTCCTCCTCACTGCTTAGTTCTTTTCACTACCAGCAAGTTTCCCAAAACACCAGTCACTAATCTGGCCAAGAATTTAAAAAAAAAGAAAAAGGAGTGATCAAAAGGGAAAGTAAGCATTCTGCTTTTCCCAACAGTAACACATGCCACACCATCTGTCACAAGGGCAAAGTCCTTTCCTTTATTGGCTTTCCAAATTAAAAAAAGAGAGAGAGAGAAATGAAAGCAATCACTGCCGAAACTGGTTTGGTTCAGTGGATGGGATGTCGGCTTGAGGACTGAAGGGTCCCAGGTTCAATTCCGGTCGAGGGCATGTACCTTGGTTGCGGGCACATCCCCAGTGGGGGGGGTGCGGGAGGCAGCTGGTCGATGTTTCTCTCTCATCGATGTTTCTAACTCTCTATCTCTCTCCCTTCTTCTCTATAAAAAAACAATAATATATATATATATTTTTAAAAAGCAATCATCAACTAAGTGGTTCAGATAAAAGCATCTTCACCTGAGTTTCCCATCAGTCTGTTCTGAACAGCCCAACCTCTTCCCACGACAAGCTTCTGGGTACCTAACAACTGTTTACATATTGACTCATTGAAGTCACTTCCATCCCATAGGTCAACTAACTATGAGCATGGTTATCCTCATATCTATTATATGTACAAGGTCCACAACTAGATCTCTCACTGGAGCAAAATTCTCTGCAGAGTAGGTTCTTTGGGGCCCAAAGGTAGAGGTTTCTAGCAAGACTTTTTTCACACTCAACATATGTATGGGGTTTTTCACTCATGTGAGTTCCCTGGTATACCAAAGGAGCTGATCATTGACAGCTTTTCTCAGACTTTATAAAGTCTCTTCTCAGATTGCTTTTTTTGTGTGTGTTGTTACAAACCCAAGATTCTCCATCTAATGTTTTCGCCACATTTCAGACAAATGCCTAAATTTTCACCAATATGGCTTCTTTGATGGGTAAGAAAGTCATAGTTCTATTGGAAGCTTTTTCCACACTTGCTAGGATTTCTCCCAAGTGTGGGTTTCTGACATCCAGTGAGCTGTACAGTGTGTGAAGCACTGTTCACACCAAGTGCATTTTCTTTTGGTGAGAATTCCCTCAGAAAGAGAAGAGTGAGCATTGCTAGGAAGCTCACTCTCTGCATCTCCAAAGTTCCCACCGGTACAAGTCCTCTTATGGGGATCAGCTATGAACTCAGACTAAAGGTTTTCCAAACCTGAAGGCCTTTGAAGATTTCTTGTTGGAGTGACTTATAGGTGTTCTGTTAGGGTTGCTCTCTGGGCAAACCATTTCCCAATTTCCTAAAAGTGCAGATTCTCTGCTCTCCACTGAAGTCTGAGCTCTTCCAAAGGTCTAAGATTTGCCTATAGTTTTTCATCTTAATGAGTTCTCTACTCAAAGTACTTTTTTTTGTGGTGTTATAACTTCTTGTCTGGCCAAGAAGTCTGTGAGGCTTCTGAGGGGTGGGGAGGGCTGAGCTCAACCCCCTTCTCACCCACATTGCAGATATACGGTTTTTCACGGATGTGGACTGTCTGATGCTGAAGGAGGCCTGAGCTCTGGCGGAAGCCTTTATCACACACGCTGTATTGATAATGCAGCTCCTCTGTCTGAGTTCTCATTTTGGGTTGGGCAACAAAGCCCATGCCTAGGAGGAAGCCACTCTCACATGCAGACCACTGGCGTGGTTTCTCTTCCATGTGAATTCTCTGATGCACAATAAGGTCCGAGCCACAGCTGAAACTTTTCTCATATTCAAGGCATTTAAAAGTGTGCGTGTGAGTTGCCTGGTGCCTGATTAGGTTGGCACTCCGAGTAAAACTTCTCATACATTCCAAGCATTTATAGGGCTTCTCCCCTGTGTGGACTCTCTGGTGAACAATGAGGTCTGATTTCTGGCCAAAGCATTTCTCACAGGCACCACACTTATAGGGCTTCTCCCCAGTATGAACTCTTTTATGAACAATGAAGGCTGATCGATGTCGATAACTTTTCTCACACTTATTACATTTGTAAGGCCTTTCGCCAGTGTGAGTTCGCTGGTGGCTAATGAGATCCGATTTCCCACTAAAAGCTTTTTCACACTCCAGACACTTAAATGGTTTCTCACCGGTGTGAGTTCTTCGGTGCCGAATGAGGTTTGTACTTCGACTGAAGCATTTATCACACTCACTGCACAGATATGGTTTCTCACCTGTGTGGCTTCGCTGGTGGACAAGCAGATCAGAGCTCTGTCCAAAATTCTTGCCACAAATGTCACATGTATAGAATTTTTTACCTGCATGTGTTCTCTGGTGTCCTGAAAGGGCTAAGTGGTGCCAAAAGCTCTTCTCACATTTGCTACATTTATAAGGTTTCTCATAATTGTGGATCCTCTGGTGTGAAATGAGATCTGAGCGCTGGACAAATGTTTTCTCACACATATCACATCGATAAGGTTTCTCCCCAGAGTGGGTTCTCTCACACATAATAAGAGCTAAGTTCTCACAGAAGTTTTGCTCCCGTTCAAGGCACTGGTATATCTGATCATCTATTTGAGTAATCTCATGCACATGAATGAAAATCTTTTTACCCTTCTGAGGGCACGCATGATATAATTTCCTTCTCCGAGTTCTCTGATTAGCTCTCTCTTCTGAAGTGCACATTGCTATGGCTCTCTCCTAGGGAGTTTTCCATTGGTCGTCTTGACCCATCATCTTCTTCATTGTCATTTTCCTGACAAGAACTTGAATGACACACTTGTTTTAGGCCTTTGAGTCATGAGCTGTTTGTCTCTACAAGTTTCCAGCATCATATACACTAATTTCTTACTCGGTATTTCCAACACTGTGAGACAGAGAGAAATATTATTTTTATTCCTATAACTAAGAAAAGAATGCTCAAAAGTAACATCACTGTAGAAAAGACAGAAATTCTGCATCAGGGTACATAATGCCATTGGTTTTTCAGGGGCTGAAATCAGTTAGTTCTCTCTTTGCCAATATCAAGCAATCATCAATATATATGTGGAAAGTACTAGGGATTATTATTTATTTCATGATCTGGGTGATCTGAAACCCAGATTCTTCTTCTTCCATCATTCTGGCTGAGTAGTGCCTGCCCTGGCATTCTCTGTCCCCTTTGCTGCTGTTTTTCCCTTGGCACTTATTACCCAATACTACAGTGAATACCTAATTCACTGATTTGCTGTCTACAGTTAGAACATGATGTCTGTTTGATTGCTTCTCTTTCCTTATAATACAGAGCAGTTCAGCCATATAGTTAGTGCTTCGTAAGCAGCTTATTACAGTTCTACGAGTGTCCTTATCTGGTAAAGGACAAAGGCTGAATGCCATGAGAACGTCTGAGAAGATGCCTTTTAGAAGAAAGAAGGGACATTTCAAAAGACGGAGGAAATGGAGCTCACCTAGAATGTAAATGGAGGAAAAGCAGCATTTACTTTCTGGTCCTGAGAATGTGATTTCTCAAGGAAGATTGCATTCTGTAAAACACAAGGACAAGAAAAAGGTAAATAGTCATGAATGAGAGGACTTAGCACTAGATCATGTCACTCAATCTGAAAACGGAAACTTTCATTAACAAGACAAAATGGTGTGTGTGTATGAGAGAGAAAATGGGTTTTCTTATAAAATCCTTGTCATCCCATTAGACTCTGAAGGAAAAGGACAATAAGAAATCTATAACCATCCTTAGGAGTATGACAGCATTTCAGGAAAGGGCCCATAACACTAACCTCTGAAACACTAAGGCATCACCCTCCCCAGGAGTGCAAGGTGCCCGGGTCTGAAGTACATCAGGGAACACATGTCCCTGGGGACGACACCCCACCTTCCCTGCAGGCCTGCCATCACCACCATTCTGGTCATCCACAATTTACAACAGACTTGGCTGATTTATATTTCAGCCACAAACAACTCAGGACGCAGTCAACTGGGGGCATGAGTAGTTAGACAGCCAGACTTGTGCACTGATTTCTCCCCTCACAGCTCTAAACTGCCTGCTCCAGGTCACAAGACTTTTATTTGTTCCCTCAGCAATTTTCTGCTATTGAGGACCTGACGCAGACAGCACAGGGAACATACATGTAACCCATGGCTACCAGTAATAACATGACAGGGTTCATGGTTCTGGTTCCAGGAAAGACGGAGGCATGCCAGCTGGTTCTCCCATGAAACGCAACACTGAACTCCGCACCAGATCACGGAACACAACCAACCTGCCGCGAGTTCACTAAACTGACTTCAGCCAATGGACAGCAAACAGAGTGCAGCAGCCTGTGGCAGAATCAATCTAAAGGTCACTGTCAAAAAGGGAAAACACATTCTAAATACAAAAAAATTTTTTTAAAGACTTCTGATAACAGCAGAATACAAGGAAGAGATTAAGTGTGCTCACAGAAGAGGTGGCCCTGGAACAACTCATAGGAAAGAACAGAAAGGAAGAGGAGGAATCCTGTGGACCTCACGGCCAAGGTCCTTCAACATGGAGAAAAAAATTTAAATGCACAATCTATCCCCCTGGTATATTCTAAAAATGACATCTGGTTTAAAACAACAGAATTTTACCACAATGGCAAAGTGGTAATGTGCTGCTAAATTAGCAACCTTGTAAAATATGTTATGTTCTAATAAAATAAAAATAGTTCAACTAAGAACTGGGAAAAGATGAAGAAAACAGTGAAAACAACCTCACTGACAACTGCATTAATTAATGGCAGGCAAGAGTTAAGAATACTATTAAGAACTGGGAAACCAGATAATTAAAGGTTAAATAAGAAAATTGGACTAAAGGCATTTAAAAAGATCTAAGTACAAAGGTAGCCATTATAACAAAAATCAAACTTTCTAAAAATAGTTTTTTAATGAAAGAGCAATGAAAACACATAATGTAAGGAGAAAAAAAACACCACAGGACAAATATTACATAACATTGATAACCAAACCTGATAAAGAGAGCATAAAACAATTTTACAGCCAGTATCAGTATCAGTGTGGAAATTACTAGCAAAATCCAACACATTCTTACATAAAATGTAGCATACTTTTATACTGTTGCTTTTTTAAATTTATGATTTAGTGCTCACTTTGGCACTAAAATTAGAATGATACACAGATTAGCATGGTCCCTGTGCAAGTATGACATACAAATTCGTGAAGTGTTCTATATTAAAAAAATATATAATAATAATAAATTACCATTTATCCTAGAAATCACTCCACATCTATTGGTAAAGATTTTCTTTATTCACTTTCACAGCTGCATAATACCCCATTATATGTGGGTATACCAAGTTTATTCAACCACTTTCATATGTATGAGCACTTCAGTTGTTTTAAATATTTTCAAATTATAAGCAGCATGATTAATACCTTTATGGATGTGTATTTTCATATTGTTGGTTAATTTCCAGAAAAGGGGTTGCTGAATCAGATGTAAATGCATATCTATGTGAGCAGAGAAACAAGTAGACAGAATCATAAAGCAAACATAGTAAAATGTTAACATTTAGGGATACAGGAAAAGAGTGTGTGGGCATTCTTTGTACTATTTTACAACATTTTTGTAAGCCTCAAATTATTTCCAAACTAAAAGCTTTTATTTTATTTAAAAATATTTAAAGAACATGGTAGCTGAGAGTTGGCACATTGTGCTAGTTAAAATTAAATGTTCAAGCTCTGAAATCAGATTTTGGTTTAAGTTCCCACTACACTCCTCTGTAGCTGTGAGAACCTGGGTACTGACTTAAGGTCCTTTGGCTTCAGTTTCCCCTCTGATAAAGTAGGGAAGCTACGATTACATGCCTCAAGGAGCTGCTGTGAGAACTGAGACAGTGTCAGTTAAGGACTCAGCTCAACGTCTGGGTCTCCACAGGTGCTCAATAAATGACAGGTCCTGTTGTTTTCTAGATTCCTCCTTCACATGCACAAAAAATCCTAACATTCATAGAGCCCATCCTCTGCGCCTGCCTCTTGTGTAAAGTCTTATTCAAGATCCATTTAAAATAATTAACTAAATAATAAAATAACTCAGCAAGTTAATGAAAGATTGTGCAAAAACAGTTATGGAGAAATGTCACGAGGAAAAGGAAGAATCCAGAATCACAACTAAATAAAGATATGCAGGATCTAGACAAAGAGCTAATATAAGATGTGTTTATGGGAATTCTGCCTTTTAAAATGCGTATTACTGTTAAGCTCAACCAGAGAATAGAGTAGAAATAAAGGATGCTGCCCTGAACGGTTTGGCTCAGTGGATCAAGCTTCAGTTTGAGCACTGAAAGGTTCTGGGTTTGATTCCTGCCCCGGGTCCAGTCGGGGTATAAGTCAGAGTCAGCCAAAACATTTCTCTCTCTGTCTTTCCCACTCCCTTCCACTCTCTCTAAAAATCAGTGAAAAAAAATATTCTAAGGTGAGGATTAACAGAACAAGAAATAAAGGATTCTGAGCTTGGTCATAGCCTGTAAATGAATCAGAGTATTTCCTAAAGTTACCAGTCCAGGGTATTATATTTGCCCTAAGTAGCCAACAACTGTGGGGCACTAAGAAGAAGAAGAAAAAAAGTTAAATAAGGAAATAATTCTGTCAAAACTCTAAGTAGACCATAACACTTTCCTACTTCACAATACTATAACTGTCTCTTATCACACGGAATCAACACAAACTTTTCACAGTTGTATGCAATGTGGCACCTCCATCCATCTCCGGCCTCACTTCTTCCTTCTGCCTGGACCGCTCTTCCTCCTTTATTTGATTCAGGTGTCTGACTGAAAACTACTTCCTCAGAAAGCAGCACACTCTGACGACTTTACTTCACATAACCATACCGTACCCTTACCCTGCGTTATTTCTCTGCAGAGCACTTATCCCAACTTTGTGTTGTATACTTCATATCTGTTAATTTGTTTCTCCTACTAGAATATAACTCCCATTAGGTCAGGGTTAGGACTTAATCTTTTGTTCACTGCAATAACCCTAGCATCTAGAATACATTAGTTGAATAAATGAAAAATATGGATGAATGAATACCAGCACAAAAAAAAGAGCCATCACCATCCTTGAACAATGCAAGCGGCCAAGAGCTCTAGCAAACCTACATGTATCCTTCAAGTCTGAGCTTCAGGGAGCCCTCCTCTAGGAAGACATAGCTCTGTCTTCCACCAGGAGGGCCAGGTGCACAGAAAGAACAGCAAGCAATAAAAGCACAAGCACACCAGCTGAGCAGAGAACTCCAAAGCTCAAGGTTATCCTTACAGTTAAAGGTTATATGGGACAAGCACACAGAGTCTGTAAAGCTTCATCTAAAAGTCAGATAGCCAAAACCGGTTTGGCTCAGTGGATAGAGGGTAGGTCTGTGGACTGAAAGGTGTCAGGTTCGATTCCAGTCAAGGGTACGTACATTGGTTGCCCGCTCATCCCCAGTAGGGGGCGTGCAAGAGGCAGCTGATCGATGACTCATCGATGTTTCTAACTATATCTATCCCTCTCCTTTCCTCTCTGTGAAAAATCAATAAAATAAAAATTAAAAAAGTAAAAGTCAGATAATTCTTGCCCTATCAAGCCCTAGGTTAGGGATTATTATACCGATTTTTCATTGATCACACACTCATTTAATCTTCCCAAAAACTCTGTAAATATTGTTGGAGTTAATACCAATGTTTGCACCTTACAGATAAAAGTCTAATGCGTAGGGCACTTAAAGAATTACCCAAGATGTCACAGCTGGTAAGTAGTAGAGCCAGGATTTAAACTGCTGAGCCTGCCTGACACACTGCCTTTTGGAGGGCTGCAAGTCAATCAAGAAGCAATTACTATGAGCCTATTGCGTCCTGAAATGGAGTATAAAATACAGGACAGGACCTGATTACATCACTCTGCTATCCCACAAGCTAAAAAGGGCTCATTCCCCTTGACCACGTATCTTCTCCCATTCCCACCTGTCCTCCCAGTCTCCCTTTCCTCCTCCTCCAAATCCACCAATTTATACAGAAACATACAGCGTGGTATGCCACTTGTTTCAACAACGAAGACTCAAGAATGTCTTCCTTTTGGCTCCAAAAGGTCTTTAGTCCATAACTATTCACCACCCACAACTCTTCCTTCTCCTAGAGCAGACATACACACACACACACACACACACACACACACACACACACAATAACGTATAATTTTCCCGGAGCTGGGCATCTACATATTAGTCCCATGTTCTCCCCAGTCTGGTCAGCATCTTGCACCCCTATCTGACCTCCCCCGCCTTTGCTTCATTGTTTCTCCTGCAAGTACCTGCCACTGGTAGCCATGGCTCCCTCCCAAACAGTTCAAGTCAGAATCTCAGGAATCCCTCTGGATGATAACAAACTTCAAAACAAAGCGCCGAGTCGTTCGCTTAATGTCTGACCTTCTGCTAATGGTTTTTATTCTGTCCACCTCTAAGGTCAAGAACCCAATCCCCTACCACTGCTAAGGGCACATAACAAAGTGACACAGTGCAAGTTTCCAAAAATGGCCAAGGCGATGCAGACGGCCAGTCTCCCGCATGCAGACCGAAGGCAGCACAACTCATCTCTGCAAGGACCACGGAGCGGGGGCGGGGGCTCCACTGCCGCCCGCGGGCTTTCCCTACGCGAAAGGCCCAGGGCTCCCGGCCACGCTCCGCAGAAACCACCGCGCTGAGCGGCTCTTCTTTCAACTTTTCATTGATCGCCTTTCCGTCCCGGGTCCCGGGGCCCCGAGCCGCGGGGGCGCACGGACCAGGGCCGCTCCCAGGCCGAGGCCGCGGCCACGGGGTTCCCGTCCGCCGCGACCCGCCCCCGCCCCGCAGGCCCGGCCCCCGAGGCCCGAGGCCCGTGCGCCCCGCGGCCCCCGCGCCGCCCCGCGGCCGCACTTCCGGTGACTCGGGGACACTAGGTCGGGTTTCCTGGCGGCCACGGGCCGAAGGGGCCACCCTCGGGCGAGGAGGGGAAGCAAACCTGGGGCCGACGAGAGGCGGGAGCAGCGCCCTCCGCGCGCAGGGCCGGGGGCAGGGGCCTCCGCGCCAACCGGGCCGGTACGCGAGCCCCTCGGACCAGGCAGGCCGGAGGCGGCGGCGCAGCCCCGCCCCCGGAGTCACGTGGTCACGCCCCCGGCGACAGCGCGCCCCGCCCGCCTCTGCGCCAATCGGGCCGAGCCTCCGGAAGGGGCGGGCCCGAGGGCGCGCGCGCCAGCCCCGCGGCCGAGGGCCCGGATGTAGGGTTCCTGCCGTGGGTTTCCCCTCCTCACGGCGGGGCCCGGGGGTTGGACGCCGGAGCGGAGCCTCCGGGGTTGAAAAACACCCCGAAGGACCAGCGGGAAATGGAAGGCCCCAGCGTGTTAGATGGGAGGAGGGCCTCAAAGTTGGGCGGTTCTCACCAAATGCCATTCTTGTTCAGTGTCAGAATGAAGCCCCGCTGTGGGCTCGGAGGTGAGCGTCGACCCGTGGGTCAGGAGGTCCCGGTTCGATTCCCCGTCAGCACCTTCCCGGGTTGCGGGCGCCATCCCCAGTGGGGGGCGTGCAGGCGGCAGACCACGGGTGGCCCTCTCATCGATGTTCCTATCTATCCCTCTCTCTAAAATCAATAAAAACATTTTTGTTGTTGTTAACCCTCACCCGAATATATTTTCCCATTGATTTTTAGAGAGTGAGAGAGAGGGAAAGACAGAAACAGCTTGCTATGCATTTCTTCTTTGCCTGTCTGCTTCTCCCATGCCTGCCCACTGAGAAGTAGCTCCAAGGAGGGAACGTGTTTTATTCCCTCTAATCTCTGAGTGACTGTGTGCTCCAGAAACATGTGCTGGATGACAAAAGAATGACTGATTTCACACCCGGCCCACCCGTTCGGTGCTGTTGGGCGACCTTCAGAGCTGGGGCTGGAAGAGCAATGCCCCTGCCTCCCGGCAGTGAAGGAGAGGGCCACGCGCAGGAGCAGCTGGTGGTTTCCGGTGCAAAGGGTTTTGTCCCCCAATCATCTGAATAAAGGCCCTGGGAAGCTGGAGGAAGTCCAAAAGTAACTTCCCCGTGCAAGGGAACATGAGGTAGGTTTTGAATGGGCTGTTTGAAAACATTTCGCAATTTCTTCGCGCTGCATCCCGAGGGACTGGAAAATGACCCCCAAAAAAGTGCCCTCTCTGAGGCTCGAACTCAGGACCTTCAGATTATGAGACTGACGCGCTGCCTACTGCGCTAAGAGGGCAGCTGCCTGCCATGCTAGGAGGGCAACCAGCCCCTTACCTCTAAAGTTCAAATAAAACGGTAAATTTTACTTTCCAAGCATTATTGTATCGTCAGTTTTTAAAGAGCACAATAGATGCTCCTTGAAAAATCACGAACCAAAACTGCACCCGAAGATTGGGCCAGGCAGGGTGGGGGCACGCCTTTCCATTTTCACTCAACTGAGGCCCTCTAAGCTGTGGGACCAGAGACAGCTGTGCTGTCCTAGGCTGCTCTTGTGTTCCAGTGATGTGGTTTTTCCTGCCCACAGAGATCTCAGTCGATCTTTCACCTTTCATGGTCTCCTTAAAAAAAAAAAAAAAAAAAAAAGTAGGAGGTGCCCAGTAGATAGTTCACTGACCAACTGATTGAGTAAATGAGCAAATAAATCTTCCTCGAATTGTCTTTTCTGTTTTACTCTGTATCTTGTATATAACTTAATCTCACATATATAACTATATATAGAGTTTCTTATAGTCAGCACATTTATCTTTAACACATCCTGACAATCTCTGATTTTTAATTAATGTGTTTAGATTATGTATACTTAATATTAGTATGGATACATTTGCATATAGGTTTACTAATCGATAACTTGTTGATCGATTATTCCCTTTGCTTTTCAATCTTCTTTGTTCCTCTTCCTACCTTTTGAGGCTTAAACACTAGTGATCTGCTGCACAAAATTTATGCACATTAAAAGGGGATTAATTAGAGAGATGCAAATCAAAACAACAATGCGGTACCATCTCACACCTGTCAGAATGGCCAACATCAACAAATCAACAAACCACAAGTATTGGCGAGGTTGCAGAGAAAAAGGAACCCTCGTGCACTGCTGGTGGGAATGTAGGCTGGTGCAACCACTGTGGAGAACAGTGTGGAGTTTCCTCAAAAAACTGAAAATGGAACTCCCATTTGACCCAGTAATCCCACTCCTAGGAATATATCCCAAGAAGCTAGAAACACCAATCAGAAAGGATATATGCACCCTTATGTTCATAGCAGCACAATTTACAATAGCTAGGATTTGGAAACAGCCTGGGTGCCCATCAGCAGATGATTGGATCCAAAAACTATGGTACATCTTCACAATGGAATATATACTGCCATAAAAAAGAAGAAATTCTCATTATTTGTAGCAACCTGGATGAAATTGGAGAACATCATGCTGAGTGAAATAAGCCAGTCAATGAAAGAGAAACACCACATGACCTCATATATGGATGATAAAGAACATTATAAACTGAAGAACCAAAAGATAGATATAGAGACAATAAAGCAATAAGCAGACTGTCAAATTACAGCAGGGAGGTTAGGGAGATCTGGGGGAGATAAGAGATCAACCAAAGGACTTGTATACATGCATATAAGTACAACCAATGGACACAAAACTCTGGGGAGGGAGGGCATGTATGGGAGGGGGGCAATGGTATATGTACAAAGATAATAATTTAATAAAAAAAATTTAAAAAGAAGGATTAATTAGAGGAAATAATTTAATATTGCTATTTGCCCTTTCTCTATAATTGGAGTGTCAAAGTTTCAAGAAAATTAAAAAAGGTAGAAAACCTAAAAAGAAACAAAAAACAAATTATGGATCTGAATGTACTATTACTGAAATGAGAAATTACACTTGAAAGATTTGAATGCAGATTTGATTAGCTAGAAGAAAGAATGGATGAACCTGAAGATATGGCAATGGAAATCATTGAGGCTGAAGAACAGGAAGAAACAAGAAAACAAGATAGCAGAAAAGTGAACAGAGCCTGTGAGACTACCAAATAAGCCAGTATATGCATTATGAAAATGCCTGAGGAAGAAAGAAGGAAAGGGGCAGGGAGAATATTTGAAGACATAATGGCTGAAAACTTCCCAAACTTGAATAAAGGCACTCAAGCACCTCAATGAATTCTAAGGAAGATGAACTCAAAGAGACCCACACTGAGACATATTATAATAAAAATTTATAATAAAAAATTAAAAAGACAAAGGCAAAGAGAGAATCTTGAAGAAAGCAAGAGAGAAGTGAGTTATCACATACAAGGCATCCTCTGCAAGATTTCTCATTAGAAACTTTGGAGGCCAGAGAAGTGCTATAAGGAGGCAGGGGGCAGAAGTGGTGGTCAAATATAAATCCTATAGCTGGCAAATCTGTCCTTCAAGAGTGAGAGAGAAATGAAGACATTTCCAGGTATACAAAAACTGAGGGGTTTTCTGTTAGGTAGGGTACCTCCTCCCAATGTGGCTTCGACAGCTGAGTGGAATTTCATCCCTCTTCCTGTCTTCCTGGAAGACAGAATCAGGGAAGAAAACGCTAGGAAAAACTGAAGGGCAGGAGAAGTCTAATAGACTTTGGCTTTTGTAGAAATCTGGACTTTATAAAGAGAATGTTGAAAAGGAGAAGTTGTCAGAATCTCATCCCATTGTCATTATCTTTGAGTATTTTGAGTCTAAAATAATTGAAAAAGGCTCTTATACCCAGGGACCACGGAGAACTTCAGAGGGATAGGAAGAGAGCCTAAGTCTCTAAACCTATTCCTTAAGCACCTAAGGAGTATCTGCGATGGAAGCCCATGAGGGAGGGAATTTTTGTGTTTTATTTACTCTCTAATCACTGTACCCTTAATAAGATGTGTGCTCCAGAAATTTTTGTTGGGTGATAAAGGGATGGATGATTTTGTACCTGGCCCACCCATTCAGTGCGGTTGGGCCACCTTCAGAGCACGAAGTTGGAAGAGCAATTTCCCTGCTTCTTTCCAAGAGAGGGACAGGAAGAGCCCGAACAGGTGACGCTTGTGGTTTCTGGTGTAAAGTGAGTTTGTTCCACAATCATTTGAATCAAAGTCCTGGGAAACCAAAGAAAGTCCAAAAGTGATTTCCCTTTGAGGAGGGGACGGGGGAGAATGTGGGGTGCGTTTTGAAATGGTTATTTGTGACCATTTGTGAATTTTTCTGTGTGTTGTGATTTATGGTGCAAGGAACATGCTGTAAAAGAAACTCTTGTGCCCTCTCTGAGGCTCGAACTCAGGACCTTCAGATTATGAGACTGACGCGCTGCCTACTGCGCTAAGAGGGCAACTTGGTGAGGTTCCTTGCATTTCAAATACAATAGAAAAGATTACTTTTCAAGTACCCGTGGCGAACCACATCCCAACTTTTAAAGAGCACAGCACATCCTGGTTGACAATTATTCCTAATGAGCAGATGCATTTCCCTTCCATTTTCCTCTGGCCATTTTTTTGAAAATATTTTTTTTCTTTAGTTTGCAGACGTTTGATTGCGATATGTTTGGGTATGGATTTCTTTGGGTGTCTCCTGCTGGTGTTTTGTTTAGCTTCTTCAACTTGGGTTTATGCATTTTGCACTTTCCAGGACTGTGTGGAATTCAGGGCCAAGTTGCAGGACACATGGAGAAAAATAGCAATGTAGTAGACCTCGCACTTGTGGGATCACAGCTCCTCGTGAGAGAAGATCTATTGTATATGTACTGGATTTAGGGTTAACATCAGAACCGAGGCTGGGGTGGTAAAAACTGGAGAATGTGGGCATCGATCCCACTACCTCTCGCATGCTAAGCAAGCGCTCTACCATTTGAGCTAATTCCCCACCTGATACCTATCTTCTCCACAGGTCACAATCCATCCGCATTATTAACTGGTACCACATTTCCCCCATCTTTCAGGTAATTTGTGGATACCGTCCCAATACAACTTTCCTTGAGTATCTTGAGATGGATGGAGCATGTTCACCATAAGCTTCCTGAAGCATAGGATAACTTTCAGCAGCACTTTTCTTCAAAATTAAGTAATGAATTAAAACTTCCCACAAACGCTCTTTTTTTGGCACGAAATTCGACATTTTTAAGTGTAAAAATATGATGTTAACACCTTCAGGAAATTTG